GAGAGAGAGAGAGAGAGAGAGAGAGAGAGAGAGAGAGAGAGAGTGAAAGGGGGAGGCAACAAAAGAAACTTTTCTTCTTTTTTAAATTATATTTTGCTAATCTGCAATAATTCATATTTCGAAGCACTATGTTTCCATCTTTTTTTTTGCATTTCTCGTAGATCAGATCAAGTTCTTCCATATTTTCGAACATTTCCTGGAAAGCAAAACCTTACAAATATAATCAATAGCGTTCTGTTTTTTATTCAATGTAATGTGTTAAGAAACATAGTATACATAACATATTGAAATATTACTGATACCTAATTTACAGAAATTTTCGACGTTTTTTAAAAATGAATTGTTAGAGAATAAATATTTTTCATTAAACAAAATTTTGAAACGAAAATGAGGTGTATTTTTTTTTTTAAAAAAGATATTTTCTTTAAAGGAACATTTCTAACACACATTCATATATCTAACATACTGAAGAATAAGAAAATCCTATGCATATCAATTAATAAATTAATTGATGTTTTATGTATCTTAGTATTAAAATTGATTTTTATGCGAATGTTAAAATGAGTGCTTTTATTACCCGCCCAGTGTTCACTTTCTAGGTAGGCTAATATGAGTATCTTTAGGAATAATATAAGCACAAAAAATTTTTTGTGAGAAATTATACAGAAATGAAAGATTAAAAAATATATATATACACACGAAACATTTTATTAGAACAAATGCCAATCAAATGTTTGTTTAATATAACCAAAAAAATAATGTTATATTTATACATATTTAGTAAATATTATCAAATGATAATAGTTTGGTAATATTTAACATTTAATATTTAACATTAATTAAACATTTGTAAAAGTAACATTTTTTTGATTATATTAACCAAACATTTGTATATTTATATTAACCAAACATTTGGGATTATTTCACCATTTAATAGTAATGCATACATTTAATAGCTATATATTACCAAAATTTTAAGGAGGTCAATGTACGCTAATGTAGGCTAATGTACAATAATTGCTAATTATGGCAATACAATACATTTTATTACTAGCATCGCTATTGTATTGTTAATATTGTTATTTTATGCCACGCAATATTGTCAAGTATTGTTAATGTATTGCTATGTATTGCTAGTAATGTAGTACTACTATGTATTGCTAGCATATTGCTAGCGTATTGCTCGTACTCTGCTACTGCTAGCATTGTCTATTTTATTGCTGTACTATTGCAATATATATTTCTAAAGAAAAATGTACACTAATTATCATAGTGGTTAATCCCTCGCCAGATTCTTTTTTCAGTGTACGATAAGGAATAAAGAAGATGCTCATAATACACGACCATGCATATCTGTCCAAAAAACTTCCGTATCTAATAAATTAATGGGCTTGGGATTTTATGAAATTAGAATAGCTCAATACTGTTTACTTTACAAAAAGTAACATGTAAAACAAAATATCTTATCTCAATGTAGGTAGATTGGAGACTTTATAAAGTTAAAGAAAAAAAATGTAAGAAATAAAAAAATAATGTATTTATTTACTTAATATGATAAATATCCGAAGTACATAAATTTAAATCAAACTTGGCAGCATATTGAAATGTCGCGAAGACAGATGCATCTTTTTACAACAGTTGACATTACTAATATCAACAGAAATATAAAAGGTGCTCATATTACATGCTATGTTCATAATATTCGATCCTATCCTATATAATTCTGCAATTTAATTAATATTTATTCGTACGTTATTGTAAATCTCCCAGGTAGCAAATTGTCGTTATTTTGATGTCGATAGTTAGTCATTTTAAATTATTGACGTCATATGATCTATTTAAGATGAAATAATGACGTCATCTTTTTGACCAATTAATAACATCATTTATTTATGACAAAGTTTTACAATACTTAATGATGTCGAATAAATTTGCCAATTGTCGACGTACTAGTAACATTATTAATGATCAATTAATAACATTTGTTTCGTTAATAACATGAAAATAATGATGTATTTTTTATGTAGTCAGTTTATGATGTTGTGTGAAAAGAAATATAAGAATTCATTTTTATGATGTTTAGACATCAGGCAGCTTATTATGATTCTTAAAATGAGGTGGAAATTACAAAAATAATTTATTAGAATTTATTAGAATATTTATAATTTCAACATTTAGCAAACTTGTTCATTTTTGTAATTTTTACTTCGTCTCAGGAACCGTACAGATTCATCATAAGAATAACTATAATTATAATGACGACACTTTGCTATCGTCAATAATATGAAAAAAATGTATTTTGGACGTCGACTTATATAACGTTATATATCTATGACAAATTCACATTTTTATGATGTCATTTTAAACGTCACATTTGTCATAAGAATAATGATGTTAAATAAACAACACCTTACTACATGGACTATTTTACGCGCGCGCACAAAGTCAGACATAGAAATCTCTCAATCATTTTTTTTTTAAATATTTGTGAGACTTCTATTGCAATGCGTTACGCAAAACTGCTAAAATTGTAACTGATAAAAATTTTATGTGTCAAAAGAGTTTATATTTCTTGTATCTTTCAATCATGTATTCAAAAAGTTGTCAATTCTTATCAAAACTATATCTATATATATATATA